TTCTTCTCTCTTTTGCAATTTTTTTGTCTAGCTTTTATGTAATATGCTTTATTTATTTGGCTAATTGTGAGATTTTCTGTGAAGGCGAATAGAGTGGATAGGCCTTGGTTTTATAGTTCTGTGATGATAAGAGAGTTATATAGTATAGTAGCTTGTAGAGTTTGTAAAAATGGAGAGCACACAACTCTCGATTCGGCTCGTGAAAGTTCAAACTCAAAATGATTTTTAAGATCGTGATTGGATATAGATTATGCAAAAAAAATAAAAAAATAAAATAAATGAACAGTAATAAAATTGATAAAAAAAATAAAAGTGAAAAAAATATGTGGAAAAATGAATTAATTTTAAATTTGTTGATAGATATGAGATAAAATGCAATGATTAAAGTTGATACGATATAAAAGTAATAAATTAATGACTGTAAATATCTGGTAGTTAAAATTATATAACTGAATGATAATTTTATTAAAAAATGTGTAATACTAATTGACTTATATTTAATTGATTAATAATATTTGTGAAAAAAGATAGGAATTAATGAATAGTAATTCTTTAAAAAGATTGTAGCCAGTCACATTTATTTTGAAAAAATTATATGGTGAGACAAAGTCTGATACAATTTATATCCTTATTACAGATAAGTCGAGATTGTTTGCAAATAAGTCATTTATCATTTTTTTTATGCATTTTAAATGAAGCCATCAAGCAATGCTTGCTCGCGAACGGACAATTGTATTTTCCCAAATAGTAAGGTTTTAAATATATTAAACGAGTCAATTTAAGGCGAGTTGAGATTTCACGAGCCGAGCCACATGTTCGTTTAACAAACGAGCACAAACCCGAACATGAGTTGACTCAACTCGATTTTGGCTCGAATAACACCGCCTTAGTAGCTGGTCAAAGGTGAAACTTCTAGTCATTTTGGATCATACAAACTTACTAAAAATTACATAGCATACTTATTATAATTAAAGAAAACCTATTTTTAGCACTGAAAATCTGGAATAATGGCATAAGAAAGGGGAGAAAATTGAAAATTTGAAGTGGGCCAAAAGGGGACAAACAAGAATGGAGGGCAACCCACAAGCAGAGGCCATGGAAGGTGGGCCCACTAAGACGTGATTGGCCACGTGGGCATGTCTGAGGGGCCAATCCACACTATATATGAGTGGCCCAAATCGGGTTTCTGGGCCTCCAGCTATTTCATTCATGTATTAGAAAGTATAAAAATTATAAATAAATTAAGTGTGATATTCATATTTTTTTATTGGATTAAGTTAATTTGGAATGATTTATGAATTCTTTGCAATTTGTATAATTAACATTTTTAGTAATGACTCGATTTAAATGTAACAGTTAATTATATGTGGGATTCAATATTAAATAATTATCCTATATATTTTCTTATTCTTTTGCTCATGTCACACACTGTTAATTTGTTGCAGGTTGACGTTGGCGACATGAGACTGAATGATAGGAGAAATGTTTACGTTGTTACTCTAAATAATTTTTTCTATATAAATTAAATAAGTAATTTCACAAAAGAAATGTACTTTTTATGTTGAAAATCTAGTTAATTATCAATAAGTTTCTTCTAGAGAGTCTATATTATGCCAAAGAAACAACTAATTAAATTAGTCTGTCCGTATAAAAAAATTGTTAATCGTGGCTCTAAAATTTCGTTACTATGAGGCTACCTTCAGACAGTCCTAACGATTACGTACTTATATTTTTTCAACATATATATATATATTAAAATTTAAAAATAATATATTTTACAAAATACTATAAACACAAATATAATAATTTATTTTTGTTTCCAAATAGGAAGGATCGATTCGCTTGAAAATTATTCTAATTCATATAATAATTTGTGAATTGGTAATATTTGGGCACAAAAATTTGAGCTAATTAGGACCACAATGCACTACAGATTTTTCTACTACTCAGTTGTGGTCAGTCCTTTTCAGTGATGTTTATTTTTCAATTTACCCGTGGAAGACACTTGATAAAAATCAAAAGTTATATATATTTGCCACTAATAATAATCCAAAGTTGAGAAAAGGACATTGATTTAATTAATATTTCTGTAGATAGACAAGTACGTATCAGCTAATTAATCATGTTGCCTAAACTTAGATTACGTATTATATATATATCATGTCCTTTATTGTACTTAATTATCATCACAAATCAACATCAAGAAATGATTAGTGTTTGGACAACGTAAAAGTTGATGGGGGATTTTCCAGAAATATATAATTGTACATATTAATATAGTGTGTAATTTCTCTTATTATGAGGACTTATGATTAATTTTTTGCTTTAAGATGAGTATTGTAGTTATTCGAATTGAGATTGATGTTGCATTTGACATCATCTCGATATCCTAATCTTCAATTGCTAGTATTAATTACGTAAGTATTACATAGTATCGTGTTATTCGATAAGGTAATTAGAAGATATAAGTAAAAGAGAATTACGTGTAAAAACCAATTAACTACAATTCCAATTCAGTATCTTTTTCTTCTTTATAATTGTGGCCATTGTTGATTTATTGTTCAAAGACTTACTGTCGCCATTATTGACCTACTGTTTCATTATTTATTTTATTTGATATAGTCATATTAGAGATGTACTGCACAGTTCGATTCAATCCGAATTTCATATCAGTAAACGAGTCTATATATGAAGCTATTGACTTTGTTTACTAAAACGAATTGATTTTCGTTCAGAAAAAAAGCTTGATTATGTATATAAATATAGAGGCCATTAATATCATTTTATTCCTAATTCAACAAAAAAACTTGAATAATTCCTCTAGGAACAATAATAACATTATAATAGAGATGTGATTATGCATGTGAGTATAATGTATCTTGTTGGTTAGGTCATTGTTGTGGCTAGTTTTGTAAAATAATGACACGACACAACCTCACAATTTGATATATCTATATCATGCATGGATTTATAATCTTTATAATTAAATTGTTGCTGACACTTCAAAAAAT